AAAAGTTCTCAAGTGTGAAAATATCTGAAGTCAACACGCCCTTATATAGGCAAAATGAGAAGACGAAGAGTCACTTCCCAAATTTAAAATTTAAGCGGGAAAAATCCTCGACCTTTCACCAAGTGATACCTGTAGCAGGTCGTCGCCTGTTACGAGCCGACACCTGTCACAAGTGACATGTGACCAGTCACGTGCCACCTGTGAGGGTCAAATGATTAGGGGATTTTTCCCACCAATCACCATCTGACAAGTGGACCAATCAGGTTTCGCCACGTGTCCTTCACATGGGCCAATAGGAGCCTGCCACGTGTCAAGTGGTGATCCGTCCATCATGGACCAATAACGACACGACACGTGTCCTCCCCATGACACATGGGATAATCGGCCACCAAGGCCCAATTCTTGTGGAAGGCCCAGTAAGCCCTAGGTTTAACCTAAACCTAGGAATTGGCACGCATCCCAAGGCATATAAATATGCTCATTAATCCTCATTAAAGGGGATTTCACACATTAAACACTCTCACCTAGAGAGACTCATTACCTTTTTCTGCATTAATTACTCCCTAAACAAGTACTAACTTGACCGTTGGAGGCGGAACTCCAATCACTCGGAGTCTCCGTTTGTTTTGCAGGTACAGGCGTCTGGTTCCAGTCTCGGAATTGTAACTCTCCCGCAAGACATCAGAAAACCCCGAAACAACAGCGACACTAGGCATTCTAGTTTTTTGCCATGTGTTACGCCACGCAGGCAACAAATAGGTTTTATTGTAAAACATATGATGCTAAGTAAGCGACTTTTGGATAACTTTTTTAAGATAAAATTGTTGAATAGTGTTTTATTATCGATATACTTCTAATATTTCATATATACAAAATTAATCATAACTTTTAATAAATATCTTATAACTCAATTCTATTTCCATCATAAAATTCCTTTTAAAAAGTTCTTTAAAATAAGATCCATTTATAATATATTTAATTTATTTAAAAAATTAATAGAGAATGAGTAAAATTAAGTTTTAATTAGTAAAAATAATTTAAGTTTAAATTCAATAAAAATAATTTCAAGTCAATAATAACATAGATATCTTATTTTATAGTATTTGAATAACTCGTTCAAAAAAAAATACTATTTGAATAATCCTTTTTGATAAATTAAATATATTTTTAAAAAAAGTACACTATCATATCATATCATATCATATCACTAATAAATAAAGTTGGTCTCGCAGCCAAGTCACGAGACAGCGACACTTGGCATTTCAGTTTTTCGCCTAGTGTCGAGCCACATAGGCGACAAATAGATATTATTGTGATTAGATTAGATGTCACATTAGATTAGATTGGATAGATTTGTTTAGGATAAAACCAGTATACATAAAATAATTTATAATTCTTTTGAAAAAAATTTATCTTTTTATTGACAATAAAATTTTACTTATACTAACACACCACATTAGATTAGATGCCAGATTAGATTGGATAGATTTATTTAGGATAAAAAAAAAAGAATATATAAAATAATTTATAATTCTTTTTAAATAAATTTATCGTTTTATTGACAATAGAATTTTACTTATAGTAACACACCACATATTATAATTAATATGAATATCCAATTAGCAATATAATTTTACTCCTATACGAATAGCCACATAATTATAATTATAAATATGGCCATGTATCATTAATTTTTTTAGTCTACCATTGATTTACGATTAAACCTTTTGAATCAGGTATTCTTCAGATTCGGTTGTAATATTTTTGTGTATGTTTGTGATTTTGTTAATGAAATTAAAGAAGTCAAAAACTACTAAAATTATAACATAACAGAAACTGTACAATACAAGGGAATCTTGAAGTAAATTCAGATCAATGGTAGCAAGGTCATAGAACTTTACGGATTTTATAAAACCTTCATAGCCCATTTACCAGCCATATATTACAAATGGCCAATTAAACCAATAATATAATCCGTTGATTTTACGTGTTAACAAAATAATTACTTTTAACATTTATTTATTTATTGTTTTTTACTGATGCACTCTTCTTTTCACAAAATTATACTCCCACTATTATTTTAGTGTCCCATTGAATTTTAGCCCTATGTCGACATAGAACTTTGATAAACAATATCTTAATTATATATTTTTTTTTATGTATAATTCACAAACATTGGTCGTAGTAGACAAAGTGATTATAGTGCAACTTACAAAAACAAAAAATAATAACAAGCGTGAAAAAGAATAATAGGTAGTATTTCTACTCTCTTTTTGTATCTAACAATTAAAAAAAATATATAAATACTAATAATAATAATTTTATTATAGTTATTATGAAAATTATAATTATAATAATTATACAAAACATGTCCACAAATAAGTACACTCTATAAAATGGGTATTCAGGGCGCAACGCTTGAGGCACGTACTATATCATATCATATCATATCACTAATAAATAAAACCGGTCTCGCAGCCAGGCCACGAGACAGTGACACTTGACATTCCAGTTTTTCGCCAAGTGTCGAGTCACGTAGGCGACAAATAGATATTATTGTGACACATATGATGCTAAGTAAGCGATTTTTGAATAGATTTTTTAAGATAAAATTGTTGCATAGAGTTTTATTATCGATAAAATTCTAATATTTCATATATACAAAATTAATCATCACTTTTAATAAATATCCTATAACTCAATTCTAATTCCATCATCAAATTCGTATTAAAAAAATCTTTAAAATAAAATTCATTTATAATATATTTAATCACAAACTTTTATACGTAGCTGGCCAAACCGTGTCACCACTATTACAATATCAGAGTTACGTCGTTATTGCTATAGAGGTTACTTGGTCAGTGTTATAGTGGTAACTCAATCAGTGTCATAGATAGGAGTTATTTAGTCAGTGTTAGAGAATACTCAGTTAGTATTACAGGAGTTACTCGATCGGTTTTATAAGGGTTACTTTGTCATGCCAGATGGTGTGGTTAGCCGCATACAAAATGCATTGTTATTTAATTTATTTTAAAAAAATATTAGAGAATCAGTAAAATAAGTTTTAATCAAAAATATTTTTAGTTTGGTAAAATACTTTCAGTTCAGTGAAAATATTTTAAGTTCAATAAGAATAATTTCAAGTCAATAATAACATAGATATTTATTGTTTACAAACAAGACTACACAAAATACACTCCATATGATATCGTTTATCTAAATATCCTACATTATCATAACAAATAATTTGGTATTTAACATTCAAGTAAAAATGTTATCTTAAAATTTTATCAAACATTTGGGCATCGCCCGGGCACAAAACTAGTATATATATAAGGGGGAGTTTTTTCCCGAGTTTTTAGAGCGCCACGTAGGATTTTAATTTTTTAAAAATTATTAGAGCGCCACGTAGAATTAATATTTTTAAAACGCTACAGTTGGATTATGCCAAGTAAGATTAGTTTTTTTAAAGCGCTACATAGGATTATAATTAAAAAAAAATTAAAAAAAAAAAAAAAACTCCACGTAAGATTAATTTTAGTAAAACGCTACAATAAGATTATGCTACGTAAGATTAGTTTTTTTAAAGCGCTACGTTGAGATATAATAATAAATAAAAATTTATAAGAGCGTCACATAGTAAAATGTTATATTTTAGCCAATGAAAAAAAGAATTGCCTCGTGTGGCCAGCTAAGACACACCAAAACACTAACCAAGTAACCCCTAATCGATTAAGTAACCATTGACCAACCGAGTAACCCCTGACCAAGTAATCCCGGCCACACGGTGTGACCAGTCACGTATAAAATTTTGTGAAATTAAATATTATCTTTTCATATTAGGAATTTTATCTAAATATGAAAAACAAACTTAATAATTCATTCCTTTCAAAAAAAAAAAAAAAAAAAAAAACTTAATAATTCATTTTATAATATTAAAAAAATTGAAGTAATACCATTCAAAAAAAAATGAAGTATTAAACAGGTGAATATCACAAAGTTTATGAGATAAGTATATATTTAGTAAAATATTTTGTTTGAAAAAATACAAAAAAACCGTGCATCGCACAGGCTTTATTTAGTATCTTATATTTAAAAATTATCTCCTTATTTACATATATTTAACACGTAAAATTTAACAAAATTTTGGTGTCCGCAAATGCCCCCTCAAGACCGCCGTGGAGATTTGATATAATATGCAACATGGTCTCGAAATTTTTCTTATATAATTTAAAAGCAAATTTGACATGCCCCCATTGATTCCACATATTTTGAAACTTGGAGAACGGAGATGAAGAGCGAAAATTGTCCCACCAAGCGTGCTAAATTTGTAAACACAAATTTTAAATTTAAAAATTATAGATTTAAAATAAATGAAACAAAGTGTTAATTCTATTGATTTGATAATTTTCTAGGTACAATATCTAATTTGCTCCTCTGATTCGATCTCCACTTTAGGTTTGACTTGTTTCATAGGCTGACTTGAATTTCGATCAAAGGTCGACGAGGCTTGATCACGAATAAGATAATTGATGCAAAACTTTGACTTGGGTTTTTGATTGAGGGTTGATCGATGAGGCTTGATCTCGATTTAAGATTGTTGATGTAGACCTTTGGGTTGAATTCTTGATTGAGGGCTGATGAGAGGCTTGATCTCTATCGAAAATATTTGATGTAGAGGCACGAATTTATGATGTGCTTGATGATTTGATGTTCTTCTCTTCTCCGTGTTGAGGATCGTCGAGGCTTGATATCTTATACGGATGATCTTCTAGACTAGAGAATATTTCTATTGAGAGGTTTAAAGTTTTTGACAATTGAGTAGATGGGGCTTGAAATTTTTCTCTAAACAAGAAAACTCGAGAGTAAAATGGGCAAAACTGCCTAATTTTCCGTACCATGCGCGCAAGGACCAATGTTGCGATCGATGTTGCATGTCACAACCCCCCACACACACACCATCACTACGTACCCTTTCGGAAACAACCACCACAAACAAATTAAAGATGGAGGAGTAATATATAAAATGAAGTGTTTTTTTGTAGTTTATTGTCTATCATCATAAACTATTATTTGGAAACAAACTCATACATTGTTTTCATAAGAGACGAGCTTATTTTCCCTCAAGCTTAATTTCAAACACTCCGAGTAATAAAACTCGTGCTACCCACAATACATACATTCATAGATCTGCCTACTAGGCTTTGCATATTTTTAACTGGTGTTGAGATCCCCTTGTTGTAATCTCATAACATCTAGATATGATTTTCCATTTAGCTTTCTTGCAAAGAACCCCCTGTAGTATTGTTTCAATGGTTCCGTTCGGAAAAGTGGAGGGTTAAGGGGACCAACAATGCTCTTAGCTGGTCCTAATTCATAATCAATGTTGGAGCTATGAAATGTAGCAACTGATATTCTCTCTTTCGTCGAGTTCACTGTTGCCCTGTGCTCAATACTTCGATATATTCCATTGCTCAAAATCTGTCAACCAACAAGGAAGTTAATCTACATGCTTCTATTAGGGAAGACCATTATGTTTTACTCCGTATTAATACTTAATCCATCCGTTTTTAAATACTTGCTCCACTTTCTATTTCCGGCCGCTTTTAAATACTTGCTCCATTTTCTTATTTGGAAAGCTTTTACAATATTTAATTTATTTCTCTCAACTAGTGGACCCTACATATATTATATTTATTAATTTTATATTCTCTCTCCTTCAATTCTCTCAACTGCTTTTGCTTTTAAAAATGTTTTATTATTTTACCTACTCCACCACCTCCATATTTTATTACTTACTTTAAAATCTCCTAAAACTCCGCGCATGGAGAAATGGAGCATGTATTTACAACGGAGGGAGTATATGTTTATAAAGGGATCACTTTCTCTCTTGTTGAGTTTATCCCGTTCTCACCTTCAGTTTAAAACACATGAGCTAGGTAGCAATATCAAAAGAGAATTGTGTGAATACTGTCAATAGTGTAAACGTTGTAATATTAAAGAACAGATAAAGTATGTTAATTTAAGTATTGTTGTTAACAAGCATACCTCCATACAGTCTCCAAGGTTTACCACAAAAGCATTCTCAAGGGGTATAACGGGCACCCAATTCCCATCTTTCTTAACTTGGAGGCCTTGGATGTCATTCAGTTGGTAAAGGATTGTGAGGGAATCTGCATCCGAGTGAGGCGTGATCCCTATAGCTTTGTGAGGCTCGGGACATGGTGGATAGTAATTCATTCTTATGGATTGCCATCCTTCACCGAATAACTCTACCATCTCGCCCTCGTTGATCCCTAGTGCTTTAGCCATATGATTCAAGATAGTCTGAGCCAAGCCCTTCATTGCTACTGCATAAGCTTCCATGATAACCCTATCACACATTAATATAATCATATAAATGTACTTGTGGTGGCCTAGGAGCAAGGTGAGCAATTGTTAAATCGCTCAATAATAATAACATAATGTAATGGAAACAATTTCTACAAACATATATATATTGCATTAGCACATGTACAATCTAGTATTACATAAACAATCTCATTTATTAGTAGGTGGCCGAAAAAAGATTTGTAACATTGAATGTTTGGCCAAATATGCCATAAGCTGAAATAAAGTATATACAAATGGTATTATGTTAATAGATAATACAAGTATAAGTGTCATTGTTGATTTTTATTGCATTGGAAGTTTTAATTGATGTTGATCTATTATTTACGAAGTCCTTTTTCTATGGGTCAAACTCATTAGAAGTGAGGAATAATGATAAGGGAATCCTCACTCCCAAAGAGCCCTTAGAACACTACCAAAGGTGAACATTTTTTTTGCTCATGGGCATATTTGATGAGCAAAAAATATGATCATCAACCACAATAGTGAGCAAATGTCAAAAACCAAAAAAAATCCCATGGGCAAAATGAAAAACGCCCAAACTATGGGCATTTTCTTTGATGAACAGTAAAACGTGTGGGCCCCACACAGGCAGAAGAAAATAAAAAAAATTTGCTGGCCCCATATCAAAACGACGCGTTTTGATGAAGCAGCCTGAAAGGCGCTCGTCAAAACGCGTCATTTTGACGTTGCTAAATTTAAAAAAAAAAAAATTCTGCTTTGACTGAGCACGTCAGCGAGCTGGCCAAGGGGAAGAAGCCACATGGCATGCGCAATGTATTGTCCAATGAGAAAATTGTAGCCGTTTACAACGGTTACAATTTTTGTAATTGATTTTCTGAAAAAATTATTTAATAAAAAAAAATTACCAACGGTCATAAAATTAAATTCTCTATAAATAAACATGCATTTTGATATCTTTTGATATAATTTCGTAAACACTTTAAATCCTCCACATTTTTATTTTCTTAAGTATTTTAAAATTGTAGAAGAAGGTCTTTGTTGCAATTTACACATATTCAGGTAATTTTTTTTTTAAAAAATATATAAATTCAGTTATGTATTAAAATTAGTATATATGTGATTTTTTGAAAAAAAAAATATACATTATGTAATTGAAGAAAGTTGTTGATATTTTCTTTATACATTACTAAATTTGTAGTTAATAAAGTGTTGCAAATATTGGGCATTTTTTTTTAATATATAAATGTAGTTATGCATTGAAATTAGTATATATGTGATTTTATGAAAAATATATATATATATATATATATATATATATATATATATATATATATATATATATATATATATATTGTAGACCATGTAATGGAATTGCATTATGCAATTGAAGAAAGTTGTTGATATTTTCTTTATACATTACGAAATTTGTAGTTAATAAAGTGTTGCAAATATTGGTTAAATTTATTTTAAATAATAAACGTAGTTATGTATTAAAATTGGTATATATGTGATTTTTTCAAAAAAAAATGTATGATGGCCATGTAATGTAATTTCATTATGTAATTGAAGAAAGTTGTTGATATTTTCTTTATACATTACTAAATTTGTAGGTAATAAAGTGTTGCAATTATTGGTTAATTATTTTTTTTAATATATAAATGTAGTTATGTATTAAAATTAGTATATATGTGATTTTTTGAAAAAAAAAATAATATAGACCATGTAATGTAATTGCATTATGTAATTGAAGAAAGTTGTTGATATTTTTTTGGATTTGTTGTCATTTTAATTTGTTTTTTAAATTAATGTTTGTAAAAATATTTATCTTTTGTTTTTTGATGCAGAATCTTTTAATGGATCCAAACAACCCAAATTTCCGACAAAAATTTCCGGGTTTTAGTGATGATTTCCTAACTAATCCCGAGTTTCAATTGTTCTTGCAAAGAATGGGCAATACGTCTTCGTAACCACCTCCACTGCATCAGACACCCACTGAGTTTCCCCTACAAAACCCTGCTAATGAAGATCATACACCTGAAACTGATCTTGATAGTAACACACTCTTCGATGAGAGCGAAGAGGAAAGCGTACCAGAGACGCCGCAGTATCCTCCACCAGTTCGCAGATTGGAACCCAACCAGGTTCCTGCACGAGCGACTCGTATTTGGTCTGTTATGAAAGATGAAACTCTGATTGGGTTGTACTTGTAGCTCAGCGAGGATGCTATTAAAGGTATGAGCCAGAAAGCAACTTCCCTATGGCGCAATGTACACGCAACATATCAAACTGCTCACTCGGAGAAGCCGCATATAATTCCACCAAGACCTATGAAGAGTCTGACGTCCCACTGGAGAAGGTTGGCAGCAGACGCACTATAGTGGATTTCTTGCTATGATGAAGCGGGTAGACTGTCGGAGGGAGGGAGTGGTTACAACGAAGCTGACCGTTTAAAAAGTTCTTCGAAACTTTTTCATCTCTCCCAAGGTCGCAAATTCACTTATCATCACGCAATTGAAATGCTTAACAAAGATCCAAAGTGGAGGCCAAAGGTGAGATGGTCCATGTCAAAGAAGGAAAGAAAAGACGCTTGTGATGCTGAGGAGGAAGGTAGTGCTGGAAGTGGGAAGAGGTCCAGATATAATGTAGGGGATGAAACCCCTACGGATGGTTTTTCATCTGGAGGTTTACAACGACCAAAGGGTGTGAAGAAAGCAAAGGCGAAGCGTAAAGGGAAAGCAGTAGCAACAGAAAGTGGTTCGTCTGAGCTTAGCAAACGAATGAAGGAATTCGCTACAATTCGCGAGAGGGAGGCCATTCTGAAGGAAGAGAGGATAAAAATTGAAAAGGACAAGGAACAGAGGAAAAGGGAGGAACTTGACATTCACAAGATGAGAACCATGTTTGATATGCTGCAAATTCTGAAGAATTCGCCTACGCCACTGACTCCTCAAGAAAAGGCATACAAGGATTTTTTACTGGGTAAATTACAAGGCTTTTAAGCTTGTTTGGTTGTTTTAGTTCTACTCTTGTATTAGTTAAGTTTAACATTATGCGCAATGTAGTATTTTATTTTTAAGTTGTATTAGTGGTGTGGTTAATTTCAATGTAAGATGTACACTTGTATTCTGATTTTCCAATATTGAATGACAAGTTGTTTAACAAGTTGATTTCAGTTGTCATTGATACCGACATAATTGCTTTAAATCTTTGTCATTGTGTAGTCACTTCTTTCTGAATTCACTTTATTAGAATGCTTTAACTTTGTGTCATTGATACCGACATAATTGCTTTAAATCTTTTTCATTGTGTAGTCACATTTTTCTGTTTTCACTTTATCAGAATGCTTTAACTTTGTGTCATTAATACCGACATAATTGCACTCGAGATTTGTCACTGTCAACTAGCATAGTATACCTATTTCGTGGCTGAAAATTTGATTTCTTTACTTTGTGTGGTCATTCGGATTTGTAACCACATATTCATTTGATATATTTGCTATATATAGTAGGCATGGCACATATCCACAACCACACCAATTCATCAAGTAACAATATTAATACATGATGTATTCTAGACCATCAACAAGCTCAAGCTCAAGTTCATCTTCTTCAAATACTGAAGAATATGATCAACTTGTTGATGAACTCTTCACATACCAACCCCCATCTGTCCTCATGCCCCAAACACAATCCCAACACACTACAAAAACACCTAGAGGGGGTACGAATAGAAGAGATGGGAAATTGGACATGTTAGGCTGTTTAATGATTACTTTTCCGATAATCCTGTGTACAACACCACCCAATTTAGAAGAAGATTTCGTATGCAACGACCTTTGTTTGTACGTATAATGAACAAGGTCGTTGAAGGTGATGTTTACTTCCAGCAGCGTAGGGATGCAGCTGGAAGGTTAGGTTTATCACCTCTGCAAAAATGTACAGCGGCGATAAAAATGTTAGGCTACGGCATGGTTGCGGACGCCGTGGATGAATACGTTCGAATCAGTCAGTCAACCGCTCAAGTTGCCCTTCAACGTTTTTGTGCCGAGGTCATTGATCAGTTCGGAACCGATTACATGCGAAACCCTACACCTGATGAATTGGCCCGAATACTGCATCAAAATGAACAGCGTGGTTTTCCAGGCATGATAGGCAGCATTGATTGCATGCATTGGGAGTGGAAGAACTGTCCAACGGCTTGGAAAGCGCAGTACCCCGGTAGGAACAAGAAAGCAACGCTAATACTGGAAGCCGTTGCAGATCAGGATTTATGGATATGGCATTCCTTCTTTGGTATTCCTGGATCTTGTAATGACCTTAATGCCTTATACCATTCACCAGTGTTCGATGAGGTTTTGCATGGTCGAGCTCCTCCGATAAATTTTACAGTTAACGGCCATGAATACAACATGGCATATTACTTAGCCGACGGCATTTATCCGAAGTGGGCAACTTTTGTTCAGGGTATCACAACCCCTCAACTTCAGAAAGATAAAATGTTCGCTGACCACCAGACTGCTGCTCGAAAGGACGTTGAAAGAGCATTCGGTGTTTTGCAAGCTCGATTTGCAATAATACGAAAACCGTCACTGGCGTACGATGAGGACATACTGCGGGACATAATGAAAGCATGTATCATTATGCACAACATGATTGTTGAAGATGAGCGCCACAACTACACTCAAGCCGAAGTTCTAAGAGCCTTCTACGAAGAAGATCAACAAGAATTAACACCAGCATCAACGTCTACAACGCCACCGTTTGAATTCAACGTAGGTCGACCTACCAACTTTGACTTCGACGCATTTCTACAGCGAAAAGCTTCCCTCCGTGATAGAGAAATTCATCTATCTCTGAAACGTGATTTAGTCGAACATATTTGGCAACGATACGGGCCACGTAATTAGGGAGAAATTAGCACGACTTAAATAAGGCCAAGTACTATGGCGTACCTACTTTTTCGTACGCAGTCGAGTTTTTTTTTAGTTGTTTTGTTTATTTTAATTCCTAAGTTTAATTACGCATGACGTTGCAAATGTAATTGGTTCCTAGTATTGTACCGCTATTTAAAATAAATAAAAATATTTAAGAAATTTTGAGCTTTTTTTTTACAATTATTTCATATAACTTACTTAATTTAACGACAAATTTTAACGATTAAAAAGACACAAATAAAAAAAATAAGTTACACAAATTTAAACTAGTTTTTATTTTTTGAGAGTAATGTTGTTAAAATATAAATGAAATTAATAAATAAAGAAGTGTTGTATATGAGAGAGAAAGTAATGGTGGGGTATTGAAAAAGTAAGAGAGAGAGAATGGTGGGTGAGCATTTTTTTTTGCTCACCATTGGGAGAGAAATTGTGAAAAATATTTGCCCATGGGCAAAATTAATTTGTTGAGAGAGAAAGTGGGTAGAGAGAGTGTGGATGAGTATTTTTTTTGCTCACCATTAAAGATTTGATCTCATGACCTTATAGTCATGATCCACGCTAAATCTTGTCAAACCTTTCTTGATAATAATCCTTAGCTTTATGGATTTTTCTTACGATAAAACGACATCAATATTATCCATAATACTTCCAATTAAAGATTTGTTTTATACGGAGTATGAGGTGAAGAGATGGATAAGATACACAACTATATAATGTTTTGTAAACGACACTTCAAATTTAATGTCATCCCTATCGTTGTCTATGCGGGCTTGCATGGCTCTTATCTACTGTTGTCTATTGTTGTAGAAAAAGCAATCACCGCAACATAAGAAAATTATCGGTATTCTCTTCCCTCCGTATTTTAATAAGTGTTACACTTACCAAATATATTGTTTTAATAAATGTTACATTTCATTTTTTTTAGCAAAAAATTACATTTTAATACTACCTCCGGTTTTTTTATGTGCAACCTTTGGCACATAAAACGGTTCACGAGGCAAAAGATTGAAGGGCAAAGGTTAAGAAAGTATAATGGTGATTAATATATTATAGGAGTATGTAATTAAGGTGGAGAATGTTTGGATAATTAATCAAACCACCCACTGCCACCACCAAGACCAGCCACCACCGCCGCCGCCTTCACCACCACCACCGTCAGCTTCACCACCACCGCCGTCGGCTTCACCACCACCACTACCACCCCCACAAAACCACCACCACAACCAACCCCACGAAACCACCACCACCCTCACGTCTTTCCCTCTTTTTTTCGGCAGCCCCCTCCCTAACCAAAAAACCCAGATCTAACCCAGACCACCTAGACCCACATCTAACCCAGACTACCCCACCACCTAGACCCACATCTAACCCAGACCACCCCACCACCCACGCCACCAAGACCCAACCCTAACCCAGACCACCCCACCACCCAAACCCACCTCTAACCCAGACCACCCTACCACCCAAACCCACCTCTAACCCAGAAAATCAAAATCAAAACCCAGAAAATCAAAATCAAAGATGAAAGAGAGAAAGCCGGTGGTCATAGGGAGCAACAATTGGGCCGGAATCGTCACCGGTATCCGAGAACCCATCACCCGGGCGCCGTGAACAAACTTGGAGGCGTTACCATTCTTACAGAAACCTCTAGAATAGTAAAGACAAGGTTTAAAACCAAACCCAGAAAGGGTAAGCACCCATTGAATCACTTCTACAACCTGGGGTCATTGCTAAATCAATGGAAGAAGATACTTGATCAAAAAACTCCACATTTTTCGAAAAAGGGTTGTTCAAGAAAACCAGATTTTGTTCCTGTAAATGGTAATCATCCAGGAAGAGAGAGAGAAAGTGGGTTAGGTCTAGAAATGGTAATAGGGGGAGAACGCCGGTGGTCATAGGGAGAGAGAATGGTAGTGGGAGGGGCGGTGGTCGTGACTCTTGAGGGAGAAGGGTGATGAAGAAGGTGAAGGTGAAAGAGATGAAAAGATGAAAGGGTGAAGCAGAGATGAAGAGGGTGAATGGGTGGTGGGTAGATGAGTAAATAGGTGGGTAAAATTAGGTTAATGATTTTAGATTAGACAAAAACGTTATTGTGATTAAAATAAGATAAGGGTAACATTAAGAAAATCAGAATTTTTAAGTAAGGGTAAATTTGTAATTTTCAGGGTTTTTGTTTACTAAAAATAGAAAGTTACACATAATAGTGAGCGGACCAAAATGGCAAAAGTTGCACATAAAAAAAATCGGAGGTAGTATTATAATTTTTCCTTTCATAGTCCCCACTCAAACCCACTACTACTTTTTTTTTATTATTATTTCTTTCCTCTCATATTCATTACTTTTCAATAGATTAAACTATTAAACCCATTATCCTTTTTCTACAATTTTAATAATCCAACTACCCTACTTACCTCTTATTTTGTTTAACTCAATTAAATTGACTAAAACTATATACCGATCAAAGTGTAACAGTTATTAAAACACGGAGGGAGTAATATTTTCCGACTTATCTTATCTTTAAATTTGCTGTACAAAAATAGTCACCACAACATGAAAATTATTAGTAATGCATGTGGGCCGACTTATTTGACATAATTGAAATAACTACCTTGTTAAGTTTGCAATAAATAAATAATTTATGTCTCACATAAAATACCTTTTAATTGCAAATTAAACGAGAGGTAATAATTTAGAAATAGAATTTGTCTGATTTTTTCATCTGATTAAAGAAAGAGCTAGAGAAGAACCTGATATTTTGAGGCAAATTATTGAAAAGATGAGGCTTTCTTAATTTAGGAGGAAGAGTAATTACGTAGAACATATCACACCAATCAAGTTTTTGGTCTTCCGAAACCACAAACAACTGCCCAAATCCCTCATGATTGTCTTCTTGTTGCCATAATTTCTTCTTTTCCTCCATTGGAAGCTTCAAAAAATTAGTTACCTCTTCCTTGAATGTTTCTAGCAATGAAATGCTAACCCCATGGTTTATCACCTGCCAAAATTGTTGAACACATTAGATTGGTTTAGCTGTATACTTCCTCAGTTTTCTTTTAAATACAACACATCACCTTTTCGGCACGCACTTTAAAAAAGAGATTAAGTAATGTAAACGGACAAATTAATCAAAATAATTTATACACTTATTACTTAACCTTTCTATAATCTTGATGTTAAAATTATTTTGATAAAATAGTTTGTTTATATAGTCTAATCATCTCTCAAAAAAGCGTGTCAAAAAGGCATAATGCATTTAAAAGAAAACAGAGGAAGTACTTATATTTTTCATATCTAAATTCACAAATTCTTGAATAAGGCAGTTTTAACTTTCGTTCATTGTAAGACTGGTTACAATTATCCTAAAATGATTTAAAGTTGTCAGTATTACCGTATACTGTATAAAAGTTCCCATTTTTAACATTTATTACCCTTTAAAAACATTCATACTCCGTAATAATGTATTTAATTGATTAATCATATTAGCCTTTATAACATATATCCAATAGAAAATACACATTAAAATACAATCAAATTTATTACAAATTAAAAGTTACGCTTAGATTAATGAGTTAAAGCTACAGCGAAATAGCATTAAGAGGTGTGTAAGTGGAAGGAAAAATATGTACCTGGAAAAATCCCCACTCTTTGCAAGCAAGATGAAGTTTGTCTAATTCAGAGTCCTTAGAATAACCATGAAGAAGCCTTTGAAGGTCAATCACCGGAACTGATACCGGGGATGTTTGATTAATCGGACAGTCCATCGTTGAGTCGTTGTCGTTCTCTTGAACTCTCACGTACCTAGAAGGAACATGGGTGGTGGACTCCTTAGCTAGCTCTTGTACGCTTGGCACTATAACAGATTTTCCAAAGTTAACCACTTCTACTGTTTTGTTATTCTCCATCCTTTTTTATTATGTTCCAATCTACCTAAACCTTATGAATGAAGTAAAATAAGAAGTATACTTGTATGATATTTCGTCTTCAATGAATATATGCAAACGATTATTCTACACCACAATATTAGTTTTTAGCTGAGTTAATGTTGTCGTTTGTCCTTTTTTGAATTATATACAAGTATATGAAATTTCAATGATACTTATATTACATTTATTTTGAAATTTAAACATTTTTTTAGTAGCTTTTTGTTGATTGTCATGCCACAAGATAGCAAAACTTGATATTCTAATTTTTTACCAAGTGTTGCGCCACGTAGATGACAAATAGGTATTATTGTGACATATTGTGACAAATAATTTATACACGTAGTGCTTAACCTTTTCGACACGTACTATAATCTTGGTGTTAAACTTGAATTTTCTCCTTTTTGTTGCAAAGGTCTTTTTTATAAAAAAAGAGGGCACAAAAAGGTCTTTTTATCGGATTTGGGTTGTGGCAAGGGTCCTTTGACCGAATTCCGACCATTGATTTTTTTCCCGGTAAAGTCACGTGCATTGCACGTGACCACTACTTAAGATTCGGTTTTTTTTTTATTATTTTTTCCCCTTTCCTCCCTTTTTAACTTCTAATTTCTTCATCTTCAACCTGGTTGCAATCCCTATTATGTGATTGTAGTCCCTCAAATTAAAATTAAAGGCAATTCAAGGGAAATCCTACGAGGTAAGGTGAAAACCCCTTTGCTAATTACATGAATTTTTTGCATTTCCATTTTCGAGTATACCAAACTTCCAAGTCACACCTTCAAAGTCACGCCTTATTCATTCTTTCAATTGCAAAAAAATTTTCCCCTTATTCACCCTTTGTGGTCAATTTTTTGCGTTTAATTTCCATTTTCAGATCAAACAAGTTGGCGATGGCAACCTTAATTTTGTCTCCTCTTCTAGTTCTCTTGTCATCAACCAGCTTTCCCCTTATCTTCTTCTTGTATACTGTTGTTATTTCTGGTTGATATGTTTGATTTTAACTGTAAAAGGGAATATATATACTTAAACCCAATGTATGGTTCCTACACCCAAGTGTACCATGTTTGGTACACCTGCAAAGAACATAAAGCAAAATAAAAAGAACACGTTATTTACAGAGGGGATATTTCAAATATAGTAAAGATGACTACTGAATATTTTTTTTTCCCCAAAATTAATGTTTAGATTTCAAAAATATTTACTTTCATCCCAATCATTTCATTTCTTTCCCAAAAAAAAAAAAAAAAAAACAATTCCTCGTTAGAATAATTATCACTCCCTAAAATTTTTTTCAATTAAATATAATTTAAGATTTCATTTTCAAAATTCAAAATTTAAAATTTAAAATTTTATTTTCAAAATTTTATTGTCATGTGATCATGTGTATTATTACTTGTGATGTTCCTTATATGATTTAATATTGTTATTTATCTGAAAACATGATGTATTTTATATTTGTTTGTAATGTATAATTAATTATTAACGTTATGTTATTTCATATGTCTATTTTGATATTATAATGATCTTTATTATATCTTTGTAATAAACTATTTTATATGTTAATGTTCTTTATAGTCACATGTTCATTGCTTACAGTAAAATGTTCTTTGAATTTTGTATCCATATCATGTTCAACTTTCATGATGTACTCTTTTCGCCACATAATGTTCATTCTTTATTGTGAAATGTTCTTTGAATTTTGTTTTTGTGTCAAGATGGGTAAATATGCATAATATTCATTACATAATACAATTATGTTCTTTATTAATATTACGAATGTTCTTTATCACTAGAGAAGATCCCAAAAGAATATCGTTATCAACCTTCATGATCCTGATTTCAAAAAAAATAATAGATGATAATAAATATACAAAATAAAACATAATTAATAAATGATATTCAAAATAAATATCATAATAATTAAAAATGTCATATAGATCATATGAATATAAGGGTCAAGTTCAAATAACTTAAGAGATAAATTCAAAGAATGTAGACCTTAAAGCACATAAAAGTTTAACAAAAGAGTATTTTTAATCTACAAACCTTGAATAATATAATTGGTAATGTAAAGAACATATAGGTTAGACCCATAGAACATATTGATCAAACTTAAAGAACATATTCATTAAAATGATAAAAATTAAATATGTATCAAAAAAATGAACAAGAACATTCATCATAATTCGAAGAACATCGTCTTCAACCTCCAAAAAATAACACAAATTTAGAAAAAATGCAAAAACTAGTAATAATTGAAAATTAAATATAAATTATAAAAACTAATATCAATATTGATTTCACATAATCTAAATTCTGAAGAATAAAAAACAATAATAATAAAAAAAAAACTTAAATACGTAAATCACTACAAAAAAATGTCCATATAGAAACGGAATTCTAGCGACGGAATTCAATCCGTTTCTAAATTAGAGACGGAATTAAAAAATCTGTCTCTAAATTAATTTAGAAACGGAATTAAAAAATCCGTTTCTAAATTAGAGATGGAATTAAAAAATCCGTCTCTAAATTAGAAACGGAATTGAAAATCCGTTTCTAAATTAGAAACGGATTTTTTTCCGTTGCAAAATTAGAAACGGATTTTTTTCCATTGCTAAATTTAGAGACGGATTTTTTTTTCCGTTGCTAAATTAGAGACGATTTTTTTTTTCCTTTGCTAAATTAGAGAAGGATTTTATTTTTCCGTTGCTGATATGAGCGACGGATTTTTAATTTCGTCTCTAAATTATTTTCAAAACAAATTATGTAAAATATTACTTTAGCGACGAATTATGTAAACTAAAATCCGTCTCTAAACTAGAGACGGATTTTAAATTCCGTCTCTAATTTTTCTTTCACTTATTATCAATTATGTGCATAGAAGTAAACAAATGATATTTGGTATAGTTGGTAAGAGTTTCACTATGTGACTATGAGGTCACGGGTTCGACTTCTACCTATTGCGATTCTTGAGATTGGAAATTTAAGGAGTCTTACATGGAAAGTCGATTCGGGTTGACCCGAGTGAGGTCGAACCGAATAGCATCTACATATAGACACAAAATAATTTTTCCGTTGTTAAATTTAGAGACGGATTTTTTTTTCCGTTGCTAATACCAGCGACGGATAAAAAAATCTGTTGCTAAAACCAGCGACGGAAATAAAAATCCGTTGCTAAAACCAGCGACAGAAATAAAAATCCGTTGCTAAAACCAGCGACGGAAATAAAAATATGTTGCTAAGTTCAGCAACGGAAAACAAATAAAACGTCACTAGTCTCATTTAGCAACAACAATTTTACTAACGGAGTAATTCCGTTTCAAAATCTGACGCTACCTATATTTAGCGACAGAAAAGTACCATCTAGCAACGGATTTGACCTGTTGCTAAATGTCTAGTTTTTTGTAGTGAATATATAAAAATTACCTTCTCCTTTGGATTCAAACTCAACAATATTACCACCATCATCAAAAAATTTCTTTTGCATGATCCTCCATTGCAAATCGGCGATCCAAATCATAACGAAATTCATCTTATACCGCCATTTTTGCTATTAACCTTCTACTTCTCTCTCTAATTATTCAATTTCTCTCTCTACACTTTTTCCTCTATGTTTCTAAAATTTAAAAATGAATGAATGTAGAAGAAAATCTAATTTAGAAATGTATAAATATGGAAGAGAATAACATAATGCTTTAATTAAGGAATTAGTTACAATTTTTTTAATAAAAAAAAATGTTGTAGATTTACACAGGCTTGGTACACCCTCGTGTATGATAGAATTTTCAACTTAAACCACAACTTTTATGTATCACAAAGGGTGAGGAGGATGAAGCAATTAGGGCTTAAGAAAGAGGGAAAAATGCACGTGACTTTTTTATTGGCCGAAAAAAAAAATTAAAAAAAAGTCAATGGTCGGAATCTGGTCAGAGGACCCTCACCACAACCCAAATCCGATAAAAGGACCTTTTGTGCCACCTTAAAAGGACCTTTGCAACAAAAAAGACTTACATAAAATTACCTTTCTGACAAATTTTACTAAATATTATAAAAACTTGATATTAATAAAACACTAAATTAGGTCCCGTGAATTTCACTACACTTAATCAATAGAAGAAAAAAAAAATTGTATTAAAAATAACTTAGATAATTGAAATGCAAATTTCCCTCAAAAAAAAGATAATTAAAATATGCAAATATGACACATATTTATAACTCCTTACGTCCCTTAATTAAGAGTCTATTTGCATTTTTTCAAGAGAATTAAGAAAGCTGGTGGAAGTACATAAGTGCATGTGGGGTTGGAGAGAGATTAAAAAAAATAAATAAATAAATAAATAAATAAAAGGTTAAGTATTGGCGCATGGCAAGTAAATAGCAACTATAAGAAAAAAAAAGTTGTGGAATTTTTTTTTTTCTGGTGGTACAAATAAGTATATAAATTGTCATCAAATATTGTACAGTTGTTACCTATAATAGATATAAATAGTACTACTAAAACAACCTATACTCTAGTAGTATAAATACATGTATAATAGTAGGATAAAAATACCACTGTAAGTATAATAGTACATTAAAAATACCAATGTAACAATAAAAAATCATAACAATTATGTGATTTTACCAGTTAGCCCTCCTATATACACTCCAAATAAATAGCAACTATGCGCCTAGTTGCACTCTAAAAAAAGTGGTTGAGAATTATTGAAGAGATGGAGAGATAAAGTGTTGGGAATTGATGTAAAGTATCATTATTACAAAAAAAAGGAAGACAATCTTTTATATAATCTAATAGTCAGTTAACCACAACCCTCCAAAAACCCAATTCTCAAATCTTTTAAATATATATATATATATATATATATATATATATATATATATATATATTTATATATATATATATATATATATATATATATATATATGTTATAACCTCTAATTAAATAACTTCCATTTCTCCAATTATATTTTTTAAAATTTTTTATAATAATAATAATTTTAATTACATTGGGTTGTGTGGAGGGAACGACGGGGCCCTCAGACCTACATATGTGTTACTTTATTCCTGGGATCGTGGTCGTGATGTCTGTGTTGACTTGACAAAGTCTTCTCCTTTGACACAATTTGGGTTATCTG